TTTAATTAATTGATAATTTATTGTTTTATTCGAAAGATAATTATATGCATAAGTTTAAATCAAACTTTGTACATTACAAACTTTGTATTTTATATCATATATATTATAATAAGAATTATATATATATATATATTATAAAATATATTTATAAATACATACTTATGTATATCGTATTCTTGAATATAGATTAATTACAATATATTTTGGCCTTGAATGTATTAAGAAAAGATAAAATAAATCATTGTAATTAATAATAAGTTTCAAAGGTAATATATATAAAGAGAAATAAATTAAATTATATTATTTGAAGATATATTATACTCGAATCGATAGCTCTGTTTTTTGTTTCTTTCGAATTTCTGATAGCATGTATAATATAAGAAATCTAAAGTCAAAAGCATTAAGGAATGCAATTTCTTCATTTCAGTCGCAAAGTTCAGCGACTATTTGGCATCCCTCATTTTATTACGATCTGATTTGTTTTAAAGGAAGAGAGAACAAAAACAAAAGGAGATGATGATTTGTATTACTCTTATTTATCTTCTTCGAGGGATAATGTAAACTCTTTCCAGCTGGTGAATAGCCGACAAACGAATTGCGACTGAATTTCTTCTTATTATATTAATATTAATCACGTTTTTGCTCTCTTTAACCTTCTATCGAGACAGGCGTTGAATTAATGATCATTAATTGACCAATTTCTCTAAGCTTGTAACTTCGAACTAATATTTACATAAAAAATATTACTAATCTATTTGAATGTAAATATTTAGACTTATATAAATTTAATATTGCTATATATATGATAATTAGCCTACTCACGCTGAAATTTGTATCAATATCTGGCTTGCTCACTGATTAGGATCAGTTTATTAATTATTAAATCGATATATCGATCTAAGTTGCATCTAAAATCGATATACTAATATCAGTTTATACATGTTACAATTTACATTATGAAACCTAAAAATGATACGCAATGTTTCATCGTGTGTAGGCCATTATATGAGAACTACCTTGATTATGAGGTTATCATTTAATCATCAAGAGGCCTTTCATGTATGAATAATCATTTTAAATCCATCACAGATTATAACAATTTATTTAATTGATAATAAAGATATTTAAAATTATATATATTTTTTTGTGTTCTTAATTGTATATGTTGATGCAGGATATAACATAATATATAAATATTATTAATAATAATATAAATATATATATATTATAAATAATATATTATTCAGATATTAATATTTTATTATTAATAATTAAATTTATATAGTATTATTTTTTAATTATTATAATTTGCATTATTATTTACAAAATTATTTACAAAAGATTATTATTTAAAATATTTTAACTCTAATTATTTGTATTTTTTATTTATTTTCATTTAATATGAATAAAATATAATATGTGAAAATAGAGACTTACATAATATTATTAAAACACTAAAAATATGATTTTATATTTCAGTATAGAATTAATCTTTTTTCCAGATAGTGTCATACAAATCGGTACGTCTCTGATAAAATATGGGTATTTGAGCCCTTACCTCTTCAACAATTTTCAAATCTGTTATTAAAATAATAAATTGATATTAAAAAAATAAAAAAAAAGAGAAAACAAAAATAAATAGATTAATTAATTTAAAAATAAATTGGATTACTTTTCATGTTTTATATTAAATTGTCAATTACCAATATCGGTGACCACCATGCTCTCATGAGTTTCCAGATCATGAAGAATTTCTCCCCAGGGACTAGTTAACTGTGTATGACCCCATGCGACATAACTGGCCGAAGGATTCCGAGCCGGAGATATACCAGCAATGTATAATTGATTGTCATTCGCTCTGGAACGCTGAAGCAATGACCAATGCAGTGGTCCAGTGGTTAAATTGAATGCCGCCGGATATATTAGCATTTGGCAACCTAACCGGAGAAATGGAAAATATGAAGTTACGAAATATCAGTTATGTAATTCTGTAATACATTTCACAATTTAGAAATATATAATATTTATATACTATTTTTATTACAATGATTTTATTATAATTATACAATTTTAAGATGCAGATATAAAATAGAACTATTTCTTCGTATATTTTTTATATTTTAAATTATATTTATATTTTAAAATTATTTAAAAATTATTTACAAAAATGTAAAAATTTTAATGAAATTAAAATTGACATTTGCAATGTTAATTAGATTAAAAGATAATTGTAAATAATAATAATCTAGCTATTATAAATATGAAGTTAAAAATCTAAAAAAAAATTTTAGAATATGAAACTAAAATTAAATTTAAAATGAACAATATTGAACAAATATTGCAAGATTTTATTTTATATTTATATATATTAATTACATTTTAATGTTTAAATAAAATTTAATTGTTTTATTAATCAATGTGGTAGGATTTTCATTAATATTTAATAATATAGATTGAAAAAACTCAATTATTAGTGAACGTTTTCATGTTTTGGCAAAAGGAATAAAATATTAATAATAATCACTATTTAATAATTTTTACTCGTCATACATTGATATAATAAAATACCGATAATGAAAACTTAATATTTAATCACATCCATGGCATAAATAAAAAGATTTACATGTACAACACATCTAATATACATTCAATCTGATAATTTTGATGCGAGAATTAAATATAGTAAATATTTATTCAATTATAGACATATTTTTAGTAGAAAATAAAAAATTAAAATTAAAAAAAAATAAATATAAATAATATAAATAATATTGTTGAGTCTCATTAACCTGAATTCTTTATTATATATATAAAGAAAAAAATATATAAAAAAATATATATAAAAAAACCAAATTTAGTTGGTTACTGTACCTTTATTTCGATAAATGCGTGCCATTTCCTCGAATCTAATATCATAACAAATGCCAATACCAATTTTGCAATTCTTCACTTCAAACATTGTCAAAGAATTACCAGAACTGAGTGAATCACTCTCGCGAAAAATAATTTTATCAGGAATGTTGATATCGAATAAGTGCATCTAATAACATAAAAAATTAAACCCTAATTATATTACTACAATTTTTAAAATTTAATATCGAAGTTATTGACAAATTTTATTATTAATTTTCTTTAATTTTTTACTTTTAGCAATTGAAAGCACTATTTTTCACTATTCTTTTTATAAAATATTAATCTTTTAAATAATTAAAATTAATTTATAAAAAAAACTTCTGTTACTTAAAAAATTATAATAAAAACTTTTTTACTTTTGTTGAAAGAAATATTCATTTTCTTTATCATAATATAATGTAGAGAATACAAATTATTATATCGGTTTTAGAATACGAGAAATTTTCTAGAATACGAAAAATCATTTTCTGTTCCATTTCCAATTTCGCTATCATAAAGGCATATATTGCTTACCTTTCGGTGTTTCGCTATCAGAGTCCCATCAGGTCCCCAAATAGTGCAAGTATTGAACAATTTATCACCATCTCTTTCAGGTATTGTACCACCAACTACATAAATATTGTTTTCTTTAGCAGCTTTTGATAAAGCGACGCTCGTTTCTCCATCAGGAATATGCTCAGCATATTTAGGAAAGTATTCTACAGTGCAATATTCCAATTAATTAAAAAATCTTTTGTTTGAACCACAAATTATATTAAAAAAAAATATTTTTTCAATTTTATTGATTAATAATTATTTATTTAAATAAATAATAAGATAAATAAATTTGATAATTCTTATTTATTTATTTATTTATTTTTTCTTTCTTTAAATTAATTCTTAATTAATTCTTTTTTTTGTGTTGATTATTTCTATAAAATATAATTAAATTATTTCATCAAAAGAAAGTGAAAAATTCTTTATTCTTTCGTAATTTAAAAAATTATTTTTTCAATAGTATAATCATTTAAATATAGAAAAATTCAAAATGTGTATATGTATATATATTTTATATTTTTTTTCTATATTATATAATTTTTCATAAAATTTAAATAATGATTAAAAGAAAAATGTGAATAAAAAATTTGAATGATGCATTTGAAAGAAGCAATTTGTTACTCAACAACTTCGTCAGTATTTATCGAAACAAATTTGGTTTTATAAATACAGAAATATTGAGAATTGTTTATAAAATGTATTTATAAAAAATTTATAAAAATATTTTAAAAAATTTATTTATAAAAAAAATATTATAAAATTTTATAAAATAAAAACGTGAATGAAATATGCAATCCATATCTCCATAAAAACAAATACTTACAAATAAAATATTTTATATATCTTCTGTTCTATATTTTAAAAATATTTATTAGAAAAATATTAGTTAAAAAATTATTACGTATTCCATATGGTGAATTAAAACATTCAGGAAAAGCGACAATGTCAGCATTCTGCTTTTTTGCGCTTGAAATGTATGAAACTGCCTTTTCTATATTCTTGGTTTTTACTTCATGAACTTCGAGCTGTACTAATGATAATCGAAATGCTGAAAAAAATATTGAAGAAGTTAAATTATATTTTAATTAAGATTAAATTATATATTTTTCGAAATTTATCTGTAATACTTTATAAAGATTAAATACTTACTCGACATTGTTCGCACTATTTGTTTAGTGATGTTCATAAGTACCATAATATTTTTTGAGGTTATCTATATTAATATTCTATATCAACGTTATGTAATCAAATAATTTCTGATACTGTAAAAATTAATGTTGGTATATAATAAAATGTATATTTTATACAATTTATACAATTATACAATTATGTAATCTTTCAAAAATTTTATAAAATATTAATAAATTATTTTTATTTATACAATTATACAATTATGTAATCTTTCAAAAATTTTATAAAATATTAATAAATTATTTTTATTTATACAATTATACAATTATGTAATCTTTCAAAAATTTTATAAAATATTAATAAATTATTTTTATTTATACAATTATACAATTATGTAATCTTTCAAAAATTTTATAAAATATTAATAAATTATTTTTAATGATATAAAAAAAGGTAGATTTTTTAATTTATAAATAAGAATAAGAAAAAAATGATTTTGTAAAAATACATTTTATTAAAAAATGTGTATAAACAAAATTGTACAATTTGCCACGAAATTAAAATAACGAAATACATATTTGATAATTATCGTCTACTAGAAGATCGAGATCTTGATCTTTTTCGTTTTTTTTGTTTCCATCTATCTGTATAATCTTTTTTATCTCTAGTTTTTTCTTTTTCTTTATCTTTTTTCTTGTGTTTTTTATTCGACCTTTCTGGTGAATAATGTTTTTTTTGTTTCTTTGATTTTTTAGATTTTTTTGATTTATAAGAATCACTACTAATGGAACTACTTTTTTCTCTTCTTCTCTTTTTTCCATGATCACTATCATTGACATCAGATTCAGAGTATCTTTTTTGACTTTTTAATTTTTTATCAGTTATTTTATCATATTTTTTCTTATCATGTGTAATACTTTTTTTTTTCTTTTCATTATTTTCATCATCATCCAAATTTTCAGATTTTTCAGAAGATATCGATTTTCTCTTTCTATCTGTTTTCTGTTTAAATTCCTTACTTTCTTTATCCTTATATTCTTCATATTTCTTCGCATCTAAAATTAATCCCATAAAATACTAAAAGCCAAAACATTTATATTTATTACGATTCTTATAAAAAGTGAAGAGACCTTTAAAAAGCATGTGTAATAATATGACGAAATTGTGATAAATATATTATTAAAAATTAATAAAATAATTAACAAATTTTATTCTCATTTTATTAATAATTTAGATATTGAATTCTTTTTAAAAGTCTCTTAATGAAAAACTAATTATTCATACTAACTTAAAACTTTTGAATTTTTTGAATATTCTGATTTAGTCACTGGCTGAACCATAAATTCATTTACAGATATTATGCTTCCACCAAGAGCTAATTTTATTATGAGCCTTCCTGCATCATCATCAAATCCTTCTATTTGACCATAATTATTACTTTGTTTTCCAGCTATAATTTTTACAAATGTTCCTTTTTCTATTTTAAGTTCTTCTTCTTGTTTATTAGAATCTGTGTTTTTTTGTTGAGTTACTTTGTCTGCTCCAAGACCCATACCTTTTGGTCGTAATTCTGGTATAACTGCTGATACAACTCTATAACAATAATATTAAATAAAATTAAAAAAAATATTTTTTTCTACTTCTTAATATATTATATTTAATTAATATACAATATTAAATTTATATAAAATAAAATTCTTACTTTTCATTTCTACCAATTCCTTTTCCTGGTTGCCAACCCATTCCTCGTAACATTGCGAAACCATAAACATCAACAGGAATTCTTTCATAATCTTCTAATGTAGACTGAAAAAATAAAAAATATATAATTTATAATATATAAAAAAAATTTATAATAATTTATAATATACAAAAATTATTGACACATAATATCCATATGTTAATAATATACCTGTTCTTGGCCTCTTAATGATTGATCTTCTACTAAAGGTAAAGTAAAATCATTTGTTTTTGTTTCCTGCTGCTCCTTTAATTTTAATTCTTCAATAATTTCTTTAGCTGCTTGTTCTTCTAATGTAACAACTTTATTATCCACTAATTGTTCTAGTTCTTTTGTTATAATTTGTGGTGATGCATTTCCATTAGATAATTTTGACTTGACTTCCTTATTAATATTAACATCTTCTGTTTTTTCTTTATTTTCTTTAGGTTCAAAAATATCTGCATCGATATGATTAATAATTCTGTCATGCCAAGTTTTTGAACCTAATAATGGAATGACGAGAGGTTCATCTTTCTTTTCCTCTTCACTGAAATAAAAAAATTATTTCCAGAAAAAATTTATTATGAAATTATAATATAACTATATAAATTAGTTATTGTCAGCTTTTATAGGTTAGGTTGAGGTTATGTACAAAAATTATATTTTTTGACTTACCCTATTACTTTAATATTTTTCTCATCAAGACATTCAATATAATCAACTTTTTTTTCTTCTTGTGGCACAATATTTTTTAATACAGGTTTCTTAATAGATTTTGCAAAACCGAAGGAGACTTTCTTTCCTTCTTCTGCCATTTTTCAATAATAAGCATTGATTTATAGATTAATGTATATAAAACATAAATAATAATTTTTATAAATTATGTACATGAACTTAAACATCACATTTCATTAATTAATTTAAAGTACTTTAGAAATTCTTAAAACACTGTTGCAACGTTATATATACCTGAATAAAGCGACATTAGAGTCACTAACCTATACTGATAACGTATAATATTTTCTTAAGTCAAAAGATCAATATTATGTATTCATATGAATAGAATGTTTGTTTCTCTTAGAACTATATTCTGATAGGTTAAATCTTAATGAAACATTATATAAATTTCATATAACATATTGTTCAAATATAATATAAATTTAAATCGAAAATATATAACATAAATATTTTATATATACATTGTCCTTACTATTAATCAATCGAAAAAATTTTAAGAATTATACATTATATATAATTATATTTTAAAATAAAGACATGTTTAATTATCAAATATCTTATTAAATAATTATAAATATATTATTTTTATACTGTATTTATAAGTTTATAATTATATTTACAAGTTACATGTTTAAAATTAAATATAAAAAAATTATATATAAATTTATATTATGTATTATATTTAATGTTTAACATCATAATTCTTTCATAATATATCTAAAAAATTTTTATTTCTTGAAAATACTGTATACTATAAACTTTTGATTCTACCCTAGTTTATGCATCATAGCGCGTGACAGCACTATTATGTATTATGTTATTTATATTTTATTCAAGATCATTCTATTTTCAGATTGCACTCTCTATTCCGCTGTTTTGTATTTTGTAAATTACTGCATAGAGATGCAAAGTGAAAACTATTTTTTTATTAAAGTTTGATATATTTTCTATCAGAAAAATAACAAATTTTAAATCAAGTTAATAAATCAAGATAGCGACAATAAATCATATTATCGCTATACTTTATTTGATATTTAAAAAAATTATTTTTTTCTGTTCTTTTGTCAAAATAAAATATATATATTCAATTAATAATTATAATAAATAATCTTGATAATTTTTACATGTATTTTTTAACGCATAAAAGATGTAAATATATACATATGAATAGATAGATTATTTTCATTATTTCTTTATTTCATGCGCTTCTAATTCTTAAGATTGATAAATATGTATAAATATTCATAATTAAGATTGGTAAAGATGTATAAATTCATAATTATAATATTGAAATGACGATAAATACATGATTGATTTTAAAGATCTTCTATTATATATATATTTTTCTAAGAATTTTAAATTCTTAATTTTTTTTAATATTTTAAGATATTTAAGATTTTGCATGATTAATGCGATAATTTATTACTTTCCTTATTTCAATAAACTTTAAAAACAATCGTCTTTGATCATGTTGGTACGTAAATTATGGAGGAAGCTATTTACTTATCTTTTGATACAAGAACTACAGTTAAAAACAACTACCAATTGAGAACGGTAGTTAAGTCTGTAAAGAGAGGGGTGAGCGTGTTTTAGCGGCGACAATAGCACGATATTCAGATACGAAGCCAGGGTAAACCGGGAAGCCGTAGTTCGTGAACTGTAGTAAGTGTGGTAACTTCGGACAATCAACGACATTCAGAAGCCGGCAACGCTCTGAAATTCAGGTAAATTTATACACTTTTTAAATAAAATTTTTTTTTTAGATTATTTTTTTTATAAATTATTATAATTCTATATCCATAATATATGAATGTTTAAGAATTATTAAGAATTTTATATTTTTGAAATATCAAATAATTTTATCAAATTAAATGTAATTATTAAATTATATATTAATGATGCATTTAAATTTTTATTATTTTTTTTTGTTATTTATTTTGTCATAAAAAATATGAATGAATGAAATTATTAATCTTAATTTCGTTTTTTATATACAGTAGATCATAAATATATTACCGCATAATTAATGATTGATGATATAAATTCAATATCAATAATATAATTTTTATTTTTTTTGTATACATCTGACAGTGTATTTTAGATCATTAATTTTAATATGTTGATGATTTGAAATATAATTGCAAATTAAAGTGGTCCACGAAACTAACTGTAAAACACCGAGCGGTAACTACAAAGTTGATGTTAACGGAAGAGATCTTCCTGCCAAAGATTTGTTCCGCTATGTCGAGACATTCTATCCTTTGTTTCTTCGTCGTTTTTATTTCTTCTTTTTATCATTAATGTACACGTTCTTTAATTCAGCAATGTATCCTATGGGACAAAAATTTGTTATTATATATATCTACAGTCTACACAACATAGTCTATGAACCTGCGAACCGATTAAAATAATAAAATAGATTAATTATATTGTAGATTTATTGTAATATTCAAATTGTTTAAGGATTGTTTAAGGATATGATATTTCTACGACTTTATACTACAAATAATTTCGTTTCTTTGATGATATTGAATAGTTTTATAATTGAAATAAATACATAATTAAAAATTAGGTTATGTAAATTAATAAAATTAAATATTTTAGACTATTACTAAAATCATTCGATTTTCAATAAGTCGTTTTATTCAATTTCAATAAAAATTTATAAGAAAAACAATACTTTTTTTTTTATTTAATTTCATATATCGAAAATTAGAGTAATTAATCACCATTCATTATAAAGAATTTTTGACAATGTTCATTGTTGCCGAATGTTTTACAAGCGAAACCAACTGGCGGCGCTCGTGCATTGAACTCTTCGTATGGTTGCGCGCGCACACATATTGACAAGTCAAATTCTAGTTCGATTTCGCGGGAGAATGCTATGGTAAATGTAGTCGAGTGAACAATCATGCGACCGGATCTACATGTTGTCCGGAACTCGTCGCATAATGCTACGGAAACGACTGGTAAATTATATTTGTCACGGGGAATCGGTAGTGGCGTTGGGGACATGATTTTATCTGACCGTGCAAGTTTACCGGACGGAACGGTCATTAAACGTCTATCGCTAAGTTTTCATGGTTTTCAGTGAAAGCTTAGAATTTATTTGTTTCATTTAGATTAATAACATTATTGATAGGTCATTATTATCTTCTTTTTTTTTTTAATATTTGAACTCATATTATTTACATTGTACACACATCTACATTGTTGTATATAAAAAAGGAAGTTCAAATATATATATATATATATATATATATATATATATTCATCATAT